CCCCTCCCCTACCCACACCCCCTCCCCTACCCACTTTGATGCATTTTTCAAATTTTGCCTTGGGGCGGAGTTATCTTTTCACGGGGGGGGTTACACTTTAAAAAGAGTAATGAAAAAAGGCCACCTAACTTGAACTGGCATGACAAAACATGCTGGACTCCAGCTTTAGAGACAAACAAGGTGAATGAAGTTGTACAAACTACCTTTGTGCAACCATTATGGCTAAAAAATCAAAGCCAATTGACTTTTTTTAAACTTTTTTAAGAAGTAGAATATATTTTGCTGTCCTCATGCATCTCAGTAATCCAGGTAGAAAAAATCAAAAAGAAAAGATAAGTTGGATGGGTTCTTTAGTGAAACGTTTCGTCTTTCGTCCAAGAGACTTCTTCAGTCTGATGAGTTTCAGGTGAAACTCAGCCTTATAAGCACTGCCTCCACATGGACAAACAGGTTAGTCAGATGCAAAAGAGGGCCATCGACTAACAATAGGCTTGATTAGCTCTATTAAATAATGAATAAATAAGAGCTAATCAAGCCTATTGTTAGGCGATGGCCCTCTTTTGCATGTGACTAGCCTGTTTGTCCATGTGGAGGCAGTGCTTATAAGGCTGAGTTTACCTGAAACTCATCAGACTGAAGAAGTCTCTTGGAGGAGAGACGAAACGTTTCACTAAAGAAGAACCTATCCAGAGGACCTACTTAATTTTTCTTTTAATATATTTTGCTGTACTCTTATCAGTCTTAACAATAAAAGCATTTGCAGAGTGACTTTGATGAGTATTATTTCATTAAAGCCTTGAGTCAAGACACTGATGCTTCTGTTACTGGTGTCCTTCATCCAAGGGACACAAAGGTCTTTCTGGGGGCAACATTGGGCCCAGTAACGAGACCCGCCCTCCTCATATGGGTTTTTCATCCATCCCCACTTCCTACAACCATACTCTGGTATCTGAGCCAAATCCCAGGTAAAACAAGCGGTACGCCAATTTCTCCCGTCAATTAATTTAAACAGTGAATGTTTGTAGCTTTTAATAAGAGCTTGAACTAGTAAACCTTCAAATTCTTTGGTACAAACTATTCAAGTGGTTAGGAGTTACAGTTTTTATAAGTTGGTGGTTTTTTGCTTGTCCGTGGTGTAGAGTGACTCATCCTGGAAGGCTGAGGGAGCAATTCTATTCAACGCCAGGCCAAATGCCAGAACCAGGGGGTGGCCTTGTCCACAATAGATAATTCTTTGATTAAACTAAACTTTTAAATCAATACAACAACCAGAAAAACAGTATTTTCAAATGATTGGGCTGGCCGGTTTAAGTCTACATACGGGGGTGGTCAACTTGGATTTTTAAGTGATCTTTCTTGCACTTAGATGCAGCCACACACTAATCGGTTCCTCGTTTATTTTTCGAGTTATCCGGTTCACAAGACAGACTGAAATTATTTCTATGTCGGAAAACTATATGCACGATATAATGCAAGTGTTGCCTGATCAAAAAGAGGACAATCAGCAATGTATATAMAGCATATGCAGGATCTATATTTCAAGATTATGGTGGTAATAATGGAAGCCCATCATGTCAATTGGTTGAGTTTGCAGAATCCAATCCGTGCGAGATCAGCACATAGGCATTTTGTGCGTGCGTGTGCACCCAAACATATGAACGCATCCAGGATTATGTTTCCTTCAGGGGTCATAGCTGCATGGACAGCAAACAGCTGATGTGGCTCACTAATTCATAGATGGAACGAGGAGGATGGGGGTGATGAAAGTAGATGAGAAAAGGACGAAAACAGAAAGTTCAGGAGAAGACATTTAGTAAAAAAACAACTGCTCTAGTTTCTGCCTCACGAAGTCTACTGGAAGAAGTCCTGGCGTCACCTCTAACAGCTCATTTTTCCATCAATTCTCTTAATGACTTCCCAAACTTTCACCCTCTTAATATTTCAGCTAACATTGAACTCCTGACATTGCCAACACAACGACTCAGCAGTTCGCACTGTTGCCTCACAGCAAAGAAGGTCCTGGGGGTCCGATCCCTGGTTTGGAGCTGGGGTCTTTCTGTGCAGAATTTGCATGTTCTCATCGTGCTTGCGTGGGTTTTCTCCGGGTACTCCGGTTTCCTCCCACGGACCAAACACATGTGCAACTGGTTGCCTTCAGGCCCAGATCTCAATAGGATTTGCCTGGTTCAATAAAGGTTAATAAATTGAAAGTGCAGCTATTATTTGACTCACGTTTTTGTTTACCATCCCCGTTAATTTAAGCTTTTTGACTCCCTTCCTTGGTCATGATTGATTATGTGCACGTACTTCTTCATTTCTATTCCAAAGCACAGTCGTACTAATGAAGTTGAGTATCCATGACAACATGGAACTCCAGCTCCAAGTTTCACAATTAACCCAAAGCTACTTTGACGAGAACAAGTCCTTTTATTTTCTTGGCATTTTTCACCTAACACCTTGCTTGACTTCATGTTTCACCTCTTCCTTCCATCATTCTTCTCTAATCCCTCCCTAAAGTGATTACATATTCCACTCTTGTTTCTCTTTTCACTATCTAAAAATACCTTTTAACTTCACTTTGTTTTCTGCTAATTTACATTTGTTCCCCACCTCCATTTTCTGCCCTGAGCCACTCTGGTTTTTCAGGTCTTTTTTTTTCCCTCCTACCACTCCAGAGTTAATGCAGTTAGGAGCTAAGCAAGTGTGAGGGCCGGTGAAAGTAATTACATTTGCATTATTGAAGCTGCTGCCTTTAATCARCTGCCCTTCTCTCCCTCTCACTGACTTCCTTTTTCTGCAGGCCTTTCCACACATCGCCTCTTAAGCCAAGCATGACACAGACTTTTGTGCATTGTTGTCATGTGTGAAAACAAAGATGAAAAGGTAAAAGCAGTCGGTTCCAAGATCACCATGTATTTTATAGATTTACTGACATAATCAGTTTTCTTTCATACTTTTAAAAAAGGTTTGCATCTCATTCTACAACCCATTTTTTATGCTWTTGTGACAATTTATATGAAAACGTTCAGGTCCTTCAGGACATTCGAACTATGACTTTCAGYACTTTAGCAATTTATATGTTTTGAGATGTTAAGCTTTTTATGCCATTTTTTATCCTGATTGAAAATGAAAAGAGCTGTATTAAAGATCCTTAAAATCCTTTGAAATASTTATAAGTCTTGACAACACGTTTCWCCTTTTGTTCTGGATTAGCTTTTTGTTTTTATCTTTGTACAAATTTATGCTTCCTTCTACGTATTTTTTGCTAATATTTATTTTTTCAGCTATTTCTTTGAACATTTTGTACTTTTATCAGAAACATTTTATGCTCCTTTTAGTAGCTTTTTGCCAATTTTAGCCATTTTCTGTAATTTTAGCTTTTTTCAGGTAAATTCATCATTTTG